TCTAGGCACAGCCAAGATACTGCGCAGAACCCTCAAGCTCCCAGGCCTCTGGTAGAGGACCCGAGCTCAGAGGATGAAACTATTTGATTGAGAAGAGGAGGCTGATGAACGATAGAAAATATTCTTGTGTTTATCGCTAAACTCCTGTGGAGGCTTTATGCACATGGGAACATAAAATAGTACACTTGAAATAAAACAAAACTAACTTACAAGTAACTTTTCAGCAAGATAAAGCAGCTCGTTCTGAGCCAATAATTCCTTAATATTGATGAAAAAGTGCTGGTTCGACTAGCAGATCATTTCATTTGTAAGTTGTACTTTTTCATCAATATGAAGAAACGATTAACTTAAAACAAGCTCCTGTATCTTGCTGAAAAGACACTTGTATGCTAATTTTGTCTTATATCAAACGTACAAAGATATTTCCACTAGAAACTCAAACAAGATCGTAAAGATTTCATGTTTTTGCAGTGCGGTTGTTTCCGCAAACCTGGTTGTTCAGATTGCTGCCAACTTAAAATTTCACAACACAAATCTCCTCCAAACTACAGTTTCAGGACCCTCGCCCTCAGACCGCACTAGAGCAGGTGTTTGTGCTCACACTCTGCGGCTCGTCAGCTCCAGGGCAGCCGGGTCACTCTGCGTGTAGCGGCATGCCAACTGAACCCACAGAGCAACCGCAAGCTAAAAGGTGATTTAACGGATTGAGCAAACAATCTGCAAACCTCAGAGCTAAGGTTGAACTAGAGGAAATTTTAATCTTAGTTTGTTTTGTGTTCGGGTTTAAACGTGATCAACATCTAATAAATAAAGGAAAGCGATAAAGAGCGGCCCGCTAACCGATAACGGTTCACAATTTGACAGGAGAAAGAATAAAACTGAGCGGTCAGAGACTATTAGGCTGCTTAGATCTATGTGAGAACAGAAAGCATGTCGTTTTAAAGCGACTTGTGACATTTCTTGCATAAAGGCAATTATTGGGCTTCCTCTTATTCATGTCACAAGCTGACACGTCCATAAATGCCTGTGCCCAGAGGCTCTCTCAGCTGAATGAAACATGACTCGTTTAGTTACTCAACAGAGTCACGAACAGGAGAACAGCATGATCTTAACCGTCTTAACTTCACCAATGCCTCTCAAGCTAATTGTTTTTCCTATGAACTGCCACACCCTCAGTGCTCAGCTTTAATGCTGGTATTTAATTTGCAGTGTTATCCTACAGGGATTTCGGAGACCGATCACAGATTCGATCGGAATCGGGCGTGATGTGCAGATCGGGGATCGGATATATATTTGCTCTAAACATGGATGTTGATAATAATAGTTAGCATCTATTGTTATGTTCAGACCATGGATTGCAGTGTAAGACTGAAGGTGCTCACATTTTCTCACCAAGAAATGACCTGCTTCCTTTCACTTTCACTCGTCTCTCCAGTTCATTTCTTTTCTCTTTTTGTTGTTATTGGATAATAATTGATATTCATCAGTTATTAATGTAAAATGTACTCATTCAGCTGCTTATTTTAGACATTACTTATAAAGCGATTTTTAAGCATGTAGCCCAAATTCCGTTTTTATTACAGACATTAATGCAAAACAGACCATCTCAGATTTTATTTTTGTTTTGGGAAAAGTAGCACAAATGTAATTCACAGCCAATGTATCTGTTTCATCTCAACTCAGATTCCCATGATCTTTTTGGGTAACACTTTATTTGAAGGGGGTTGAATAAGACTGTCATGACACTTTCATAAACATGACATAACACCTGTCATGAGCATCAATAAGTCTTCATGAATATTTATGACTGTTGTCATAAAGCGTCATTCGGTAAATTATGACACTTTTAATACAAAGTTGACATTATTTAAAATGTCTTTGTTATGGCAACTTGACATTAACCAAGAAATCATTACTGTTTAAACTTTACCTTTAATAACATAAAGTTACCTAATTTTTAAAGTGAAATCAGTAATTATTTTATAACAAATTTATATCAGTAATGATTTCTTGGTTAATGTCAAGTTGTCATAACAAAGACATTTTGAATAATGTCAACTTTGTATTAAAAGTGTCATAATTAACCGAATGACGCTTTATGACAACAGTCATAAATATTCATGAAGGCTTATTGATGTTCATGAGGTGTTATGTCATGTTTATGAAAGTGTCATGTCAGTCTTATTCAACCCCCTTCAAATAAAGTGTTACCTCTTTTTGTAAGCAATCTTATTTTACTCCTTATTACCATTTTTGCTATTTTAGCTTGTTTTGTCAAAAAATAATAATTTATTATTTTTATTTTTTATCATAATAAAAAAAAAAAGATCTCGACATTCTTTTTGTTCATTTGCCAACACATTGAACCATTGTTCACTGGTCTAATCAGTCGATTTTTGTTCAAAGAAATTGAGCTCACAGAACAAAAAAATACCAATAAGCTCAAGAATTTATTGGTATTTTTGATGGGACCTAAACTTCAAACTCTAACTTGTGACATATCAATGAAACTTGCTATTTATTGTGCTATTAGCCTCAATCTATTAGCTCTCATCTGGCTGCCTTTTACTAAATTTATTAATCAAGTCAACACGAAAAATAAAAAAATAACAGGGCAAGAACTGCTTAACAGGTTGAGCTGCAACCTCAAGCTTTAGCTGACAGTTCTTCAGCTTTTGGATGAATGTTAGGCAAACACGTTTTTTTTTCTCTCCTCCAAGCATTCGTGTGGAGTTCCGCTGCTTGGAAACCCACACAAAAAATAGTTTGAAGATAACTATAGATGTATATATGTTTTGCTTGTCAAAGCCAGCTAGCAACGAGACGGATGATTATTAAACTAAAACATGATCGGCAAATAATTATGTGGCACTCACCTTTCATAATGTTGACAGACGGCAGCCTTCAAGGAAGAGAGCGGGGCTGTCGTATGCGGGCCGGCCACCGTTTCAGGTTTCACTATATAACATGCATTGAGGGGCGGAGATAGAAGAAACTCAAAACTCTGGCGCAGCCTACATTGAGATTTTCCCTCTGCTTTGCCTCTCGCTGAAGAAACGCCCCCTTTATCCATTCACACTCAAACACACACACACACACACACGCACTCAAACATACACACACGCACACACACTCATGCCCTACAGCACACTGGAGGTCTGTGCTGCCTCAGTGTGGTGGGCTGATTGCGTAACCTTTTGACAGGCTCGTTCTCTCCCAGGGGTTCTGCATAAACTGCAAGGGATAAGAAAGAAGGAGAAGAAGAAAAAAAGTCACGCTGGATAAGAAGAGTTGTCTGATTGTGTCATATGTATGCAAATGTGTTTCGCTGATGCAAATTATTTATTAGCTGAAGCTCGCCTGACAACTATTTTTGTTGTTGTTGCTGTTTGTTTTAAAGTACAAAAAGGCAGAGTAATTTTGAGCAAAGAGTTATGCCAATATTTCAGACGTCTGCGTCTTGCGGATGGTAATTAAAATGTCGCTCCATCTTCGTGAAGCTGCTGCTGCTTCCAAACATCCTTAATTCGGCCCCCGGAAAGCCGTCTTTATTCTCCGCAGCCAGATTTGCTCCTCACAGGCCCAGCTGCCCATTCACAGCATTTTCCCACCACAGGAGTCCAGAGAGTGGACTGGTTCGACTGAAGCGTTTGTTTTATGGTCACAATCCAGGGTTTTTTTTTTTTTAATTTTATTTATTTTTATTAGTATTTATTTATTGGAGATTGGGAAGCAGAGCAGGGAAGGAGATACACTCCTGCTTTTCATTTCTAAAAACGCTTTGGTGTGAGTTGAAAACACATTTATTTTAGGAATAAAAATCTGAAAAGTGTGGTGTGCATTTAAAGTTGGCCCAGTTTTCTTTGACACCCCTAAAAAAGAAACAAGACAACCAGTTGCTTTCTGCAGCAACCTAATGGACCTGCTTGTAATTTGCTCTCAGATCAGGGAGAAAGTTGTGGAGAAATTTCAAACAGATGAGATCAATACTTAGCTTCCCCCTCCCCCCAAGTGTTTTTCTCCAAAACACTTGAAAGTAAATGGAGCCTCACATTTCAGCAGGACTGACCTAAGCATACATTTGAATGGTTTAGAGCACATCTGTTAGAATGTCCTGGTCGACGTTCAGAGATAAATCCAGTTGTTGAACAAATGGTCAAAGTCGCCTCACATGGAGCTGGTAGACATGCAACAAAACGAGGTGTTTTTTTGAGGAACTAACCAAAAAAGTAAAAAGGGGAGTGAAAATAAATGCATGCCACACTTTTCAGATTTTTATCCGCTAAAGACAAGAAGTTGAAACAGTATCAACTACACTGTGCACTATCACAGTTTATGTGGCTATTATAAACAGATTCCACATTTCAGCAGGAGCATACATTCTTTCCTCGTGGATTGTAACTTTTTGATTTGTTGTTTTTCTCGTCATTAGGTCTCGTCCTGCTTTCTTTGATGCTGCAGTTCAACATCATGTGTTAAGCTGAAGATGCTCTGACTTTTAGTTTCTTTCTCCAAAGTTGTGTTTGCTTGTATTTCCCTCATCAGATCATGTGTTTTTCCCCTCCTTCCTCTCCCCTTCACACACGGTTCTAATTTTCAAACCGTCACGCCTGCATCGGGTTGTTTACCTCCACCTCAGCAGCACTATACATAGTTGCAGATTTTTCATTTTTTCTCTCTCTTCATTCCCTATTATTTGTTTTCATTTTATCCACTCGTGCCCGAGGAGCGGCCTACGTCTGCCTGCTCCCAACACATCGGCACGCTGCTGACCAAATTGTAAAATCTCTCTCTGCAGGTTTCAGCACGAAGCGCAGTCGACTCAACCTGCACGGCCGATACGCAATTCACACACATGCCAGGAAAAAATTTCCAAGAACACAGTGAGCTGTGTTTATATAAAACTTTGGCACGGCTTCTTCGTTTTGTTATGAGGGCATGATTAATCCGTTCAGCTGCATCCCAGAGTATTGAGCAACAACCGTGCCAACATGACTGTCTGCTCGTGAAGCGACCGAGGCCGTAGGAAATTTCCAGGGATTGAAAGCGCCGGACGCGTTCGACTCCACGGCAAACAGATGGAGCGTGGAAACACGGTGAGATTATAAAATGCAAATAATGTGGATGATCACCCTCGGAGCGCAGAACAGGAAGAACCAGTTCGCAAAGGTGTCATTTAAAAAAAAAACTTGACTGGTATGACTTCTGTTGGCAGACAAACATGATTTTTGATACTGTAAAGGACAGAGGAAAGAGGACAGCCACTGTATAAACTGCGTCTCCTGTTTCCTCTTGCATCTTTCCACCGATCTCTAACTGTTCTTTTGCCACAGGCCAAAGCTCCGACTCCATTGTCTGTGTCGCTTCTTACTTAAACTCAGCCAGTCCCTCAGCTTTACACAAGTGCAAAATTTCTTTTCATGTGGACGTCAGATTTAGTTCAAACTTCAAACTTTACGATTTGGTTAGTTACCAGTATCAAGTGAAATCAGCAAACGTAAAAAGAAAACAAAAAATAAATGTAACAAGATTGTAAACATTGAGAATTGCACCTTTAATTTAGAAGCACCTGCAAGCGTGCACTTGACTTTTGGCCAGAGTTGTGCACCTTTCCAGTAGTTTTCCACAGTCGACAAGTTTCAGCAAAGCATGAATCAGTTACTCTTAAATACACAATTATTCTTTTAACTCTGAGATTAAGATGGAAATCAACAGTTCTTTGAGACCGATGACTGCTACTTCCCCTTTCTTTGTCTCTTGTGGGGATTTATTTTTCTTTAACTGACAGAAGGATGAAGATCTATGCAGGTGGTTGTAAAGTTTACACTTATCATGGGTGTTAAAGCTGCAGTATGACCGCGGGCGGGTTAGATTAATCCACGATAAAGCAAGTTTTAGGTCATTGGCTAAAATTTACAAAGCTTAAACAAGGCAAAGGGCTAGAAGTTTTTTCCTCAGAAGAGAAATAATGAGATACAGTGTGGTTTGTTCAACCAGCCATGCATAGAAATTACAAACAAACATGACTTTGCAATAATTTTCAACAAGAAAGGTAAGAAGGTGAGCTTTATCATATAAATCTGAAACATTTGCTTGGCCAACAACATGACTGTTACACTGAGCTTGTATGGCCAATATTGTTTTTTTTTTAAGAATGAGAAGACTTATGATGCAAAGTTTATGAGTGGAGTTGATGCCAATGCTGCTCAACGCCTTCGGTCGTCCTGCACTGTCTGGGATACCGCCAACTCGTGATTCATAAACGGCCAGAGGCAGATCAGAGGCGATTGGTCTTTACAGGTTCTTCTAAGAATTGTTTTGAGAAAGATGCTGATGAAGGCTGTACCATCTGGAAGCATCATCTTAAGGATCTGTTTCTGGTGGTAGTGGAGTATTTCCACAACGGGACTGGAACAATGAAACAACTTCAAAATCTTTTAGCTTCACCCATAAAGAAACGGTTTTAGAGTGTACAATAAAGCAACCTAACATTAAACTTTTGGAATCATTGTGACAATTACAATCAAAAGCCACGTGTGTTCTAGGAAACCAAACTAACATCTTATGCTGCATTTATGTCACAAGTTTGTTAAAAGCTGAAAGATGGAGTGTGTGGTTTCAAATTGATAAAGTAAATTTGAACAAATCTGGGGTAGACACGTGTTTATTTCAGTCCTGTGTGGATAACAGAGATATTTCACTATGAACCTTCAACCTTCTATGAAAACTTCACATTATCCGTGGAACAATTGTTTAGTATATTATTGCTTCAGTTCACTTTTAGGTTTTGCCGTTTTAGGTATTCTTGTGTCTCTTACATGTTGGGTCCTGCTCAACCAGAGTATACATGCCAGAAGGACTCGAATAAAACAACTGAAAAACTAAATTAATTAGCGTAGGGAAACTGTACATGTCTATTCATCAAACCAAGAAAAAAGAAAACTGAAATGAACATGTCATACATATTTATATTAAAGTCAATCACAGATCTGTGAAGCTATTACTGCACCAACTAGCAAAGGTAAGTTCACTACTCAACTCACATTTACTCAAAATAAAATAAAACAAAGCTCAGATTTTTATTTTATTTTATTTTATTATTAAAAATTTACTTACTCTAACTTAGTCTGGGCCTTATTATTGGAGCTTATAGTTTCAAAATGTTGCTAAAAAAATGAAGTGATCAGAATTGTTTACAGCTCACTTTATAACATGCATATACATGCTGGCATCATGAAACACAATGATCCTAAAACTGATGAGTGGACGTACAAGTCAGCATAGCAGGTCTGAGCATTTTGGCAGTAAACAACATTTTTTGTCTCTGCCAAATAATTGCCTAAATAATATTTCGTTTGACGTTTATCCACACCTTTAGAGCATGTAGTAACACCTTTTGAATCTATGTAGCAATAAAATCCTCCTAATAACTATCATTTACCTGGGAACAAGAGGGAGCAGCAGCAAAACAGCAACAGTCAACCGTTTTCTGTGGAGAAGATTAGTAAGTTTCTTACATAAAATGCAATCCTCATCACGCAGATGCAGTAACAGTACACTGCATCTTGAACAAAAGACAGATTTCTAATGCCAATTAGGAGCAGGATCTCAAAAACTGCAAATCCCCCTCCCCAAAAACTATTAAAACAAATAAGCTCAAACAACAAAACCAATATCGCTACCTTCTGGTAACAATAAAGTTCTCCCCCATTTTAAACTAGTTTACTAGAAATATTTTCCTCCATAGTCTGACTGAATGCACAACCCGCAGGAAGAGCTGCATTTGTCTCTGTGTCGATAAGAGCCTGATAAAACTCACTGACGGTGCAATTTCTTACATTTTTACAAACAGCAACCTGTACTCCACAAACTAAGCACATTACTTTAACTTCAGCAAAGGAGAATAAAAAAAGTTAGCTGAACGTGTGATGGTAAAATCCCTGCGTTGTGCGTTGGTCTTACTGTTTTTAGGGTGCACTGACATCTCTCTGGATAAAGTGCAGGGACTGTTTATCAGCACTGAGCAGGCTTGGACTGCGCACCCATAGAGATAGCAGGAGCTAACGGAATACAAGCGGCTCCTTTCAAAACAAAAGTTGTTTTTAAAACAATGAATACTCAATACAACATGACAAGCAATTCTACAGATAATAACACTGCACATATAAAACTAGTATAAATACAAATCAGCATGTTAGCTGTTCTTCT